TGAGACAGTATTGGCCCCATAGGCTTATATATTAGAATGCTTGGTCATCAAGGAGTGAAACTGTTTGAAAGTTTAGAAGGATTAGGAGGCGTGGCCTTGTTGGAGGAACTGTGTCCCTGGGGTTGGGCTTTGAAGTTTCAAAAGCCCAATCTCTTTGTTGCTCTTTCTCTCTGCCTTCAGGTCAGGATGTAGCTTTCAGCCACTGCTCTAGCACCATGCTTCTTACCATGCTGGTAATGGACTAAGCCTCTAAAACTGTAGGGAAGCCCTCAACTAATACTTTCTTTTGTAAGAGTTGCCTTGGGCATGGTGTCTCTTCAGCAACAGAACAGTGACTAAGACAGAAGTTGGTAGCAGGCAGCAGGGTATTGCTGTGACAGACAGGCCATGCTGCTTGTTGGCAGAATGTGGACTTTGGGACTCTGGATTAGGAAAGCGGTCAAACACTTTAAATTGGGTTTAAGGGGCCACCTAGTAGGAGCATGGAAGCTAGCACCTAGTAGGTGCTGAGAGCAATGTAGATTATGAGGGCCCAGCTCAAGAAATTTCAGGAGGGAAGAATATTAGTAAGCGGCCTAGAGACCACTGTGATATTTTGGCAAAGAATGTGGCTGTTTTTTGCCTTTGCCTACAAATCTGCCTGAGGCTAAATTAGAGCTTTGGATTCAAGGCTTTGATGGAGATTTCAAGACAGTCTAGTGTAGACTCTGTTGGGTGGTTGGTTATTAGTAATCACTCTTACACAGATCTATAATGAAAAGGAGCAAGCTGCACCAGAAACATGCAAAATGTACAGTTTGAGGAGAAAAGGAGAACCAGGAAATGTTTAGTTGGAGCTGAGTGTTGTGCTCAAGAAGATAAAAAGTTTAAAGAAAAGCCTGATGCTAAATAGAATAAAGGGAGCGGTGACCTCAGGGCATGACACCATCCAGCCAAGTTTCCAACTTGTGGAAAGGAAGTAAAGAAAAGCTTAAAACAGTGAAGGTTTCAAAAGCCCATGCTCAAGCCAGCCTCTGTCTCTTGTTTCTCTCTCTGTCTCTGCCTTTGGATCAGGATTTAGGAGGTAGCTCTCAATGACTGCTCCAGCTCCAGGCTCTCTGTCATGAAAATAATGAACTAAGCCATTCAAACTGTAAGCAAAGCTCCAATTAAACGCTTTGTTTTTATAAGAGTTACCGTGATCATGGTGTCCCTTCACAGCAATAGAACAGTGAATAACAGCCTAGGCGTTCCTCAAACAGCCTGTCTGCATTACTCCTGGCATGTAGGATGTGCTCTTGGAGACTCCATGTAAGAAGTTTAACTCCCCTGAGACCACTCCACCGAGAAAGAAAGGGGTTTATACAATTGTCCTGTCACCAGCCTCTAGTGGGCCCCGCCAATGGGCCAGATACTTAAATGAAGAAGCTGGAGGTTAAAGAGGAAGAGTTAAGGCCATGTGACTGCTGTGTGACAGAGATAAACCCTGTGGCCAAGCTCCTCTTAGACACCGCTGCCACACACACACAAAGTCTACAGGTGAACAGACAGCTGTTACACCCATCAGTTTATTATCCAGCAACAGTGACAGGGTGAAGACAAGTGAGCCAATTCCACAACACTGTTTTACAATAGAATGTAAACACTGCAGCCAGTGTTTCCTGACCGCGGCACTTCTAGCCCGTGCCCTGATGCCCGGCTGTCCCTCCTACAGGTTAGATTTTCCTGTTTGAGTGAAAAAGAGTTCCTAGTGCGTCCCTTCCGTCTGGATAGGCTACGCTGATCCCTCAGAGATGCCCTGGCACTGTGAGGAACAGTGCGCTCGGTAGCATCAGCCAGGCCCCTTCATCTGCACGTGGGGGAGGTGGGCATCTCTTAACGTGAAGGCTGACAGATTTTCTCTGTAAATACCGGCTGTGGCTCTGTTATCCTGGTTAGACATCACGAGGCAGCTGTGGGCAGCACACAGGGGACAGCTGTGGATGGTGCACAGGGGGCAGCAGAGTGCGGGCATGCCTCTTCTCCCAGGCTTCCTCCCTGGCACGGGTGGACTGTGAAAGCAGCCTGCTTGTTCTATTCTTTTGATTTTTTTTTTTTTTTTTTTTTTTGAGATGGTTTCATTCTGTTGGAGCACAGGGTAACTTCAAACTCGGGACCACATATGTGTAGGACAGCACCTGGCGAAAGTAGCCCATTTAGTTTCCAGTTTTAATTTTATTTTTTGGGGGAACAGGGTCTTACTATACAACCCTGGCTGGCCAGAAACTCACTATTCCACTTGCCTCTAGAGAGCTAGGATTAAAGGCATGTGCCCCAATTGCCCCCCCCTTCTTTTGTGACAGAATTCTCTTGCTGCATAGTCCAGGCTCACTTCAAACTTGTGATCCTCCTGCCTTCACTTCCCAGTGGTGTAAGCTTCCACACTCACTGGAAATGAGTGCCTGCTACTAATCTTGGCTTGATACCATTGGCCACACCCTGTTCGCTCATGGTCCATAGTGTCACCGCATAAACCTTGATGGTACATGTTCTGTGAGCAGAGCTTCGGAATCTGCTGTGGAGTCCACCAGTCTCTACCTGGTAAACTATCTGCACTTCCCATCTAGCTATCCTGTTGGGATTCTGTCTTCCTGTCTGCCTCACTGAGGGCTAGAGAATGGCTTGCTGCCTCTAGGGAGCCAACAAAATGTTAGGGGAGTGAGCGCTACTGCCAAGCTGCCTGAGACTTCCTGAGTCCTCAGGCAACAGCAGAACACCTCCGGGAGAGGGGGTGTGTCGGGGTGGTGCACAGGCCGAGGCCTCACAGCAGAGGCAGGCCTGGCAGACCCTGCAGCAACATGCCTTTCCTAAAGCTGGTGGGGTTGGTGGTTCCTTGTCTGTATGAGGCACAGGCGTAGAGCAAGTTCGGCTTTAATGGTGCACCGATGCCAGCTTGCTTGTCTGCCACCCTGGGGTTCTGCATAAAGTTATACCTAGTTGAGATTCAAGCATTTCTAAAGAGCCCTGAAGGGATATTTTGTCTTTGTGCAAACAGTCCTTTTCTGTAGAGGGAGTTCTGTGGCTTCTTGGCAGACACAGGTGGGAAACACCTCAGTGAACGCTATTCACTCCTTCGAAGTAGAGACGTGCACCGCACGTCACCATAGCCAGCCCTGAGCAGCAGCAGCGGCTTCTCTACATGCTGTGCTGGGAATCCTTGGATAATCTCATGGTATCTGATAACCCCTCAGCGTCCGGGGCTGAATCCCAACGCAGCCTGTCTAGCTTATCCTCAGACTATCTGTGATCCCAACTCTCTTACTTAGAGTTTGCATTGCTCTGATAAAACACCATGACCAAAAGCAACTTGGGGAGGAAATGTTTGATTTCATCTTACAACTCTCATGTCCCAGTCCATCACTGAAGGAAGTTGGGGCAGGAACTGGATGCAGAAACCTGGAGGCAACAAGCGAGAAAGAGGCATGGCTTGCCCAGCCTGCTTCTTTCTACATCTCAGAACCACCTGCCCAGGGGTGGCACCACCTGACTCAACCATTGATCAAGAACACGCCAGGCAGACTTGCCGTATGATGGCATTTTCTCAGTTTAAGAACCCTTCTTCCCAAACGACCCTAGCGGTGTCAAACTGACAAACAAACAACTAGCCTGCAGCTTTGTAAGTTATTCGGGGATCAGAGCCAGGTGCCCACAGGATCACTTGTCCTAGAGAGGCCCAGTTAGCAGCACGGGCTAAGTAGGTGCTGGCAGTCGCTGCTGCCTCACAGAGTAGCCCTGAGTCAGGAACAGAGCTGGCATGTAGAGGTCCAAGGCAACATCTGCTCCGGAGGCCACGCATGATGTCACAGCTTGAGTCCCATGAGTCTTCCAGGTCTGAAGCCAGCGCTGCTGGGCCTCTCTGTTGGCGCTCACCGGCTCTACAGCTGCACCCAAGCCTAGACTGAGCTACCAAAGTTACCAAGTAGACACCCTTAAGGCTACCCTGTTTACCAGACAGAGGAACATGGGCAGGGGCTTGGGGAAGCCTCTCCAGTTCGAGCCCTGCTTAGCAGCCACAGGGTCTCTCAGGAACGAGAGGGAATCCTCGTACCACCTGACTGCAGCCCTTTGAAGCGGCAAGTCGAGGAATGAGCTCATGCTTGTGCTCCTGACTCAAGGGAACCTCCACTGAGGACATCGAGGCAGTTGGGTATGGAGGCAGACACAGATAATCCCACACACTCAGGAAGTAGAGATGGAAGGATAGAGAGTTCCAGGGCAGTCTGGGCTACACAGAAAAACAAAATGGAAAATGATGTTCTGGATGAATACACCAACCCAGAATCAGCACTGAGCACAAGTAATGCCTGGCCCTGTTTCCAGCACTCATTTTCTTTGGCTGTGAGTGGCCTCCCGTGATGTAAAAGGCTGTGTGGATGTGTAGACAGCCAACAGAGAGGCAGTGAGTGGGACCTGTGTCTCTCAGGTGACTGGCTGGCCCGCTGGTCTGGGAAATGTCTAAGGGAAGAGTGCCCTTGACTACTGGTCTGTGGCTATGCTGCTGCCGCCAGGAGCTGCAGTCCCCCAGGCTTGTTCTGGGAACATGCGCAGTATGTGCACGGAACTTCGGGGCTGCTTCTGGGCGGCACCTCCTTTCTCTGTGACTCCTTTGCTCCAGCTGACAAGGGCAACTTTCATGGAGGTCTTCTGGTTTAGCCAATGTGGTTGGTGCAACTTAAATGACTCCCAAAGGAAAGAGAAGAAAGAAAACAGCTCAGATTGCTAGGACAGCCATCTGGGCCCTGGGAAGAAACCATAGGGTTGGATCTGCACAGCCCCCATCATGTAAAGCATGTACTACGTACAAGGGGGCCACCCAGAGCATCGCATGTGCAGACACAAGTGCTGGGCTTCTTCCATGTTTCATACCCTATGTTGTATGTCTTCCTGGGGACACATGAACAAGCACCTATCCACCCCAGATAAGCCACAGATGACAGACAAAAAAAAAAAAAAAAGAAAAAAAAATCTACCAATTCTAGCTTAGTGAATGATTTTATTGGGGTTACCTGCAGGACCATAGGTGGCTCAAAGGCAGCCGAGATGACTCATGCCAGTACTGGGGATCTCTCACAAAAGCTGTGCCCCTGGAGCTCGCTGTCCAACATGTAGGCGGTCCACTGGACAGTGTCCTCTTCCAAGTAACTGTTACTGCCTTTTGTTAAGTTTGGGGAAGGGCCTTGAGAATCCCAGAGCTGAGTCCTATGAGCCTCCTTCCTTGGCAGCAGGAGAGAAGGTTCCACTTTGGTGGAGACAGCTTTGTAACCACCAGCCCTTGGACACAGGGGCCCTGAAAGCCTACAGGCGGTGTCACACTGGCTGCCACCTCCAGCGGGGCGACAAGGAAGGGGTGGAAAAGGCTTGGCAGAGCTTGTGTGAGATGAGGCTTCCTGAGAACAGCCGTACTGAGCCACACAGGCTTGATAGCATCTCCAACAGCGCTGGTAAAAGGCACCCACAGGACAGCACTGCCCTGGGCATCACAACAGCGGTCGGGCACAGACAAGAATGGGACTATCGTCTCCATTCATAGATGGGCTCACCAATTTTCCTACAACCAACCTGGCCCTCCTCTCACTTTCTTTGATAAGATCTCTCCTCATCACCCTAGCTGGGCTGGAATTCGGATATCTACCTGCCTCTGCCTCCTGAGTGCTGGGATTAAAGTTTCGGCTCTACTGCCACTTCTCTTAAGGGGGCCACTGAGGCACTGGCCTGTGACTCACACCTATATTCCCTGTAACGGAACGGCTGTGACTTTCTGTCTGATTCTTTACTCCTGCCTTGGGTTACCTGGGGATGGAGGGCTGCTGTATTAGTTATTTTTCTCATCTCTGTGCCCAAATAGCTGAAGAGAAGCAACCTAAGGTAGAAAATGTTTATTGTGGCTTACAGTTTGAGATCACACAGTTCACTATGGCAGACTCAACCCTGGGAGGTGGCTGCTCCTACTGTATCTAGTCAGGAAGGACAGTGGGGAGGATAGAAACCTCAAGCCCCCTCCACCCCGTGACCCATTTCTTCCAGAGACTCTCCCTCTGAAAGGTTCCACAATCTTCCAAACTAGCACCCCCATCTGGGGACCAAGTGTTCAAACACATGAGCTGATGTGTTTCACATTCCAACTGTAACAGGTACCCTCCTGTTTATACTGGCCTAAGACAGACAAGAAGCTTTGCTGTCTCCTCCCCATTCCCCCTTAATTGTTTCTTTCTTCTTTTTTCTCTCTCTCCTTTAAAAATTCTGGAAGAGGATAGAGTGGGAGGCCAAGGCACCCCCAACCTTTAACCTGAGAAACTTGGGGCCTTGTCTTGACTTCAGAGGCTCCAAGCTATGGGGCCTAATTCTTAAGGTCTTGGTGTTAGAACTTATACAAGGGTGATACAACAGGGTAATTGGTGGCAGATCCCCTGGGGATTCTTGAAGGATGAGCAGTGTCTGGCTGGTACTCTAGCAGAGACTTCCTTCAAAGGGAGTGAAGAAGCCTGTGCCTGTGACCAAGGTCTGCTCTGGTGACCTGTGCCTAAGTCTACATGCCTATGTGCACCAAGCTGGCCCATCTCTAGGGACTCCAGGAAAGCCAGCCTGTCACAGAGCTCTACCAGTCAGATTCTGCTAGGCGCAGCTTCCAGTTTACAGCCTATAACAAGAAGTGTTCCCACCTGTCTTTGGAGACTAAGTGCCACCTTTTGTCCATGCAGCAGCGAGTAATCCCCACTCCATTTAGGGATTCCAAGCTGGAACTCTGGTTGCTATGGTAACCTCCCAGGGCTTCAGTTGGAGCCAGGCCTGTGTGTGTGCGCGCACGAGCCATACCTTTCACAGGCATACAGAGAGGAGCAACCATAAAGCCCTCTGGGGATGCTGGCTCCCCTGGCAACTGTCTCCCTCTTCGTGGGGCAAGAGGCATGCCCTCCTGGCTCACCTGCAGCATATACTTCACCTGGACCACACATTCCTTTCCTGGCCTCCTACACATGTTCCCCAGCTTGGGGACACCAGGCTATACTGCGGTGGTAGGATACATTCAGCACAGATACATTCAGCCTGCTGTGTGTAGTGTTTAGTTACAGACTAGAGGTCCAGAGGGGCAGCACTTGGGGGCGCTCCAGTTCTTTGGGCACAGGGATCTTTCTGGCAATGATTGAAGAGGTGAGGTCTGAGGTCTGCATTCCTTAATTGCATCCTCACCTCCACAGTCTGGTCCCCCCAGTCAACACCACCTCAGAGGCTACTCACCGGTCAGCCATGTGCTAAAAGAGGCTTTGCGTGCTCACTGTTAGTCCACATACCATAAGGCTGTGATTGTGCCCTGGGCATTACGGAGGGCCCTGGCTCCTGTCCTATCTCAGCTGTTTCTCTGCCTCCTGCAGGTTCACTTAGAGACAGCCTGTCCTTCTTTCCCCGTCGGAGGGAGGTCAGGGCTTCCTTTTCTGGTCTTCTATCTGGCCTTGTACTGCATTTTACACGCTCCCTGTTCCCTGACCACCTTGGTCACCCTATTAACCCTCTCCTGCCTCCCTCTTCAGAAAGCCAGGTTCCATCCTTTCGTCATCCTGACCCCAGCCCTGGATGTCAGGAGTCCCTGAACATTTCTGGGGCAAAAAGCCAGCGGGATGTGGCAGGCAGCCACTGTGGCACTGACAGCCTCCCGAGGCCAAGCCCCAAGTACCTTCTTCACCCAGAACTTCCTGCTTAAAAGTACGACTGATGCTGGAGAGATGGCTCAGAGGTTAAGAGCACTGCTTGCTCTACCAGAGGTCCTGAGTTCAATTCCCAGCAACCACATGATGGCTCACAACCATCTGTAATGAGATCTGGTGCCCTCTTCTGGCCTGCAGGCAGAACACTGTATACATAATAAAATAAATAAATCTTTAAAAAAAAAGTACGGCTGATGATGAGCCTGCAGAGCATCTGAATGCTCTGACCCTAAGGGGAGAATATGGGACATCTTCGTGGAAAGTTCCCACCCTGACCCTTCAGGCTGGCAATGGAAAATTTATTGTCAAATATGTTTAGGCTGGCCACACGACCGTGTCTTGGAGCTTGTAAGTTGTGCCTCTTACAAGCTCCAAGTGTCAGGTGTCTATCATCTGAATGACAGGTCACAAAAGGTGCAGGGAACCTCATGAACAAAGTGGATTCACAGACCTTTGGCCATACTTTGCAGTCCTCAGAGAGCCTTGGGAACCTTCCACAAAACTGGGTCGAGACTGGAGTAAGACACCAGTGTCCTACAGCTGAGTCACAGGCAGGGGTAGAGTGACCAGATGCTGATGCGTTGGTCCTTGGACCCTGCAGCGAGCAAGCCATCAGTGGCAAAGGCCACACAGTACACAGAAGCACTGTGGAAATCCAGAACAGCCAGTGGCTTCATCGTCCTCCAGTGAAACACACGGATGCGATGGTCCCAGCCTGCTGTGGCTAAGATCTTACGGTCTGGCCGGAGAGTGACTTCAGAAATTCCAGGATTTGTGAGTTCATGAGTCTTGTACACCTATAAATAGGCAGAGCAAGAATAATTAGGCTGCTCTTGGGTCTGCTGCAACCCTTGGCCACAAATACCCCCGCCCTGTCCCCACTCTGCCAGAGGCCCTGTGCTAGCTACACATTCTTGTCCATCCAGCCTCCTCCTCAACCCCATGGTCATAGCAGGGGCTTGCCTGAGCACAAACAAGGCCACAAGACTGTGCTGTGCTCCTCCTCAGGCTGCTTGGACAACTCCAGCCCTGAAGGAGCCTCTCCCAGGCTCCTGGGTTCTCAGTGTGGATGAAATAAAATAGTCAATGTTTCTCCTGAAGCTTGCAGCATGTAGGAGATGTAAATTCCATCAAAAATAACACCAAGAGGCAAATAATACCTGGAGTCATGGGAGGGGTTCTGGGGCCAGAACCCAAGAGAAGGATAGGGCGCTATGGCTTGAATGTGTCCCTCAAGAGTTCACAGCCAGAAGCTTAATTCTCAGATTCACCTATTAATGCTATCTAAGGTGGGGTATTTGGCAGAGAACTAAGGATATGTGAAATCACCAGGCCTATTAGTGGCTTTCTTGAGGAGGAGACCTGAGCTGGCAGCCTGTTCTGTCTTGTCTGGGGATAGTCTCCATGCTGAGACTGGCACTCAGCGGATGCCACTGAGCCTCCTGGATTTCAGCACCACTAGCCAAATAAACCTCTATTTTTACATAAAAATGTATTCATTTACTTTTTGTGTTGGGTGTTTTGTCCGCTTGTGTATCTGTGCACTATGTGTAGGGAAGAGGGCAGAAGAGGGCACTGGATGCCCTAGGACTAGAGGTACAGACAGTTGGGAGCTGCCATGTGGGTGCTGGGAATTGAACCCAGGTCCTCTGCAAGAACTGCCAGTGTTCTTAACCACTGAGCCATCGCTCTGGCCCTAAACTTCTACTCTGTATACACCAACCAGTCTTAGCAGTCTTAGGCATTCTGTCGTAGTAGAAAGTGGAGTGAGGTACAGAGTAAGGGTGACAACATTGGAGAAGGCAGGAGAAATCACTGATGTGCTCCTTGCTGACTATGGGACCTCATTTCTCTGGCTCTCTGTCTGTCGCTGTGGTCTATTCCTCCGTATGCCAAATCCAAGACTGGTCCAGCCACCCAAACTTTAAAACTCTAGAGCTTCATGCTAAATGAAATGTCTTTATAAAGGTAACCCGCCTCGGGTCCTTTGTTCTAGTAGTGAACACAGCTCTCTAGGTTAGACGAGCCTACCCTGCACATTGTAGGTTCCTACGAGAGGCCTGACCCTGAATCACAAGCTTTCTGTTAGTCCCCTTTGTCTTCAGTGCCTTCTAGGAGGGCTGCATCACCCTTTGTGGACAATCATGTGCCTCCACAAAGGTGACAAGGAGGTTGGTTGGGCATGGTGGCCCCTGCTTTTAATCCTAGCACTCTGGAGGAAGAGGGACAGGTGGTCTCCATGAGTTTGAAGCCAGGCTGGTCTACACAGAGACTTCTAGGCCAGACAGGACTACATGATGAGATTCTGCTTTAAAAAGAAAAAGAAAGAAAGAAAAAAAAAAGAAAGAGAGAGAGAGAAAAAAAAAGAGAGAGGAAGGAAGGAAGGAAGGAAGGAAGGAAGGAAGGAAGGAAGGAAGG